AGTTTGGTCAGGCAGGACTTGCCCTTGGTGAATCCGTGCTGTAGTAGCACTACACATTTTAAAACTTACAATACAAAAGTGAAAATTACAGCAAAATAAGCAGCCCTCTCCCACCAGAACATTCACAAGAAAAAGGGAAAAACTTCAACAGATAAAAATGTGCCTTTCTGTAAGGTAAATAAAACCAAGATTCATTACTAAACCTACTATGACTACTTTTTTAATTCAACATTTACCTAAGAAAGCACTCCGTAATGAAACTGGATCTTCCTTCTCATGCATTCAGCATGAAACCACTATATCAAACTGCTGAGAAACTTGAGTCATCTTATAGATTTTGCACTATAATACCTACTCAATCCATGATCCTATGTGCCACCAGATCTACAGCATGGAGTCAGAGCAGGAGAAAGGCAATAACATGACTGCACTGAACATGCATGTCATTCAGGGCACCCCAAATTCAAAGGAACTTTACAATAAGACAGGCATTCCCAAGGTATGCTGGCATTTATTTGGGAGGTTGAGTTAGGCTTAATGCTGTAGGCCCTTTCCAGCATCATAGCTTCTCAGATGAATCTTCTGTCACGTGACCTAGTTTAATACATGCACTTCACTTCCTCTCAAGTTAAGTATAATATACCAATCATCATAAAACTCACAATAAAGTACTCATGAAAATTAAGGTCAACAATTCAGGATTACTTGGGAATCAAAGTTTCATTTTGGAGCTGAAAAATTCTCATAAAAAAATTTTAGTATGAAAAGGAAAAGGTTAGACTAGTGGCTCAAGGAATAAATATCTTTTCCCCATCCTTGTTTTTTTTTTTTTTCCTTGTAAAATTAATATTGGAAGTTTGCTAACATTTTCACTTTTCCAATAACTGCAAGTCTTGGCACTGCTTCTTACTAACACCTTGTGATACAAAGCAATTTTAATATTTTTTCTTTGAGGGCTTTCAAGTCATTCTAGAAAGTGTGCTACCTGAAGCATCAAGTGAAAACCAGAAACAGACTGTATTCTTTCTAATGATACTGAAGTTTTTAATTGAAAGTATTTATTATTTTCCAAGACTGTCTCTGTTACTAGCTGAGACATATTTTTAACTCCACAAAACAGAATATAAACATGATTTATGGCAAATTCAAAAGATCTGCATTTCTACAGCATAGCTTTCTGTGTCTACATTGACCTTTTAGCTTTTTATAACAGGAAACAATGAAAAAAGACAACTAATATTATGGAGCATTTCAGACTGTGAAACTTTAAAGCTTGGGCTACAAAAGTTCTTTCTTTTTAGAGAATGTAAAGACCTGATAGAGATGATGCCAAGCCTGATAGTATTTTTGTAATTATGAGATTTATCACAGCAGATGAAGATTAATTGTATGATTTGCTGTTTAATTTAAAATAACTTTTTTGTTTTCAAAGCTCAAACAATTCTTTCCTGTACGAAAACCAGTTCTTTGCTGTTTCACCAATGTAAATTAGGAAAGCTAACACAAGGATTTTTTTCCCCAATTCTAGCCAAAGTTTTCCCAGTAGTACAACTTAATTCTTACAATTGGAGAGCAGTGACTTTAAAAGAAGTGAAAACCTAATGGAGTGTGTAGGCATCAGTACTAGTTGCAACACAACTACTTCGTTGACGCTGAATTGCAACCCTGAAAATATTCCTATTTAAAAATCATTCCTTTATTTTAATACGTAAACCAGAAGTGGCTAGTATTGTGGTCTTCTCCTCATCATAACATCCAATTGAAAGTAGTTAAGATCAAGTTTTTAAATTATGTATTTATTTTTCTCCTCAAATTTAACTTTAGGCTATATAGAGTCTATGTAACACACTACTAGACAGAATGCATGCCAGCATACTGTAATTAGCATGCTACTGTGACATACTATATTTAACTCGCATCCACTGTAACAAACATTAAAACATTTAATTTAAAAAGACAATACCACAAACCTGAGCATCTGCTCCACCTGAGGCAAATTTTTCACCACCTTTTGAAAAAGCCACAGAAAGTACAGGTCCCTGAAAGAAAAAAAATTAGCATACAGTAAAATGATGCTATTACTGTAATTGTGGCATTTAAACGCAAAGAAAAAGAAAAACACACTTATGCCGTTATCAAATATAAACAGACTTTTTCAATTTTAATAAAATAAGGAACAATTTAACTGTAGTGAAATTTTTGCAAAACAACTTGATTGAAAAGTTAATATTGCTGCATTACAATTGCTATGATCAATACTAGGAAAATAGTGGCATTTTCCTCAGATTTTATGCTTTAAATCTGCAATGAAAAATTATCAAATATATATTCGATTACTCAAGACAATGTGTTTGAGTGATTTATAACAAAAAGTAGGTTTTGTTTTGCATTAAGAGGAAACAGAAAAAATGTCTGCCATTCTTCACAAAAGTTATCTTCCACAAGCTTCCCCTTCCTTAGAAAGCTCTGTTTTTCAATAGACAAAAAGACTAATGTGCCTTAGTCAATCAAATTGATTTTGACAATCAAGAGAATGAATTATTAATTAATTCAGACCATGGTCTATTACTTAACATTAAACATGCATACAGTATTGACAGATTAACTGCATGGTCATAGGTGAAATTGATGCATTTCCTTATGCACTTGTGACAAGGTGTATTAATACAACACTTTGCTGTCCACTAAGGTTTATCTGCAAGTTGCAAGATACAAGACACAATGGCATAAATGTTACTTTCCCTTTGAAAAGATACTGAATAATGTGTTAAAGTCTCCATTTAAACAGGATTATTGTGTATACCTTGTGTCCATGAAGAGTGTAAATAAGTCTTCCTTCTAAGAGGTCCAAAATCTTAAGGGTACCATCAGTAGAAGCAGTGATGAGGTAGTTACCAGAAGGATGGAATGATACACAGTTAACCCCTGCTCTGTGAACTAATTTACAGAAGACAATATTCAAAGACTGTAGATATCTACTAACAGGAAATGTACACTTTATTACTTCGCTCTTTTCTACTCCCCAAAGAACCACCTACTTCATTTAAGGGAAGAACAACCAAAGCAGACTCTCCAAAGTATTTGCTTAGTTCTGTTCTAAAAATTAAGAGAAGCATTGCAAAGGAATAATCAGGATTCAGATTGGATTTTTAGGGTTGCTAGACTACAAAAAAATTACTTACAAAATGCCAACATGACCTGTTTGTCCACTTCCCCCAGTAAGGAATGAAATCATATAATCTAAATAAATCACATTTTGTTGCAAAGAGCTCCATTCTAAAGAAAATACAACCAACTACATTGTTTTTACCTTTGTAATGCTGCAGTAGCTTGTTCATTCGAATATCCCACAGTTTCACCACATGATTGGAACCTGCAGAAGCTATACACGTACCACTTGGGTTGAAATCCACAAAATTTGCAAATCTAAATATAATTAATGCAAATAGATTGATTATGTGTTTCCATAGAAATTTTTGGGTGTGTGTATATGTGTGTGTGTATATATATATA